AAATTGAGATGTATCTGTAATTTACGAGAAAGACAACGCAGCTGCTAGAATCTTCGTCAGATATTTGTTCCCTCCCTTCTTATCCTCACTCATCTAACTCTCTATATAAACACTCTTCCTCTGTTCCAAACGCAGCCATACGCAAACGTTTTATTTAATTTGATTGATTTGTAGTCCAAACACACAGATTTCAAGAGTGATGCAGACGGTATCGGTTGACGAGACCAAAAACACGGTGGTGCTACGAGCGGAGCACCGTAACGAGGAAGGTCGGAAAAGTGTAGACAAATTCGAATTGAAGACTCGAAACCCGGACACGATCAAGCAAGTGGAGAAGAAGCTGATGGAGAAAGGCGTCCAACGGATGGAGAGGCATCCTTCCGACGGGAATTCGCTCAAACGACCGCCGCCGAAATCAGGCCACGGCGGAAAGTTCACGTGGGAAGGACCGGATCGGATGGAGGATTACGAGATGCAGCCTGATCCGCCGGCGATGGACGAAGGAGATCCGAATTACGACGAAGAACAGACGGCGAAGAAGGAGGTCGGAGGTGATGACGTGGCGGTGGAGCTTGTGAAAGGAGAGGTCGACGTGGCGAAGGAAGCTCCGGCTGGTGTTGCTAGAGTTGATGTTGATCCTCGCTTGATCAGTCCTTGAGTGTGTTTCTGACTTTGTAGGAAAATTTGGGGGCGAATGTGGGAAAGGAGAGAAAATGTGGGGGGTTTGGTTTTTATTTTCAGTGTTTGTGATGTTTCGATGTATTGACGTGGATTAATGCTATTTGTGCAGAAAAATAATAGTTGTTGTAACTTCCACATTGAAATGTCAAATGTCCCACTCGGTAAATTTTCTTCATTATCCAAACAAGTTTGATCATTTTAAGATTTTATCATTGTCGACGACATGAACAAGTGTACACCAGATGTCGTAACGGTGATAGTTAGTGTCTTGTTTTTCACCACTTTCTTTCTCATATGTCCTTACCCTTATTAACCAAAACAATTGATCTACAATATATGTAAAGATATCGTACTATTATTATACGCAAATCTCTTCTTTTTTAGTTGTGATGTTTGAATGTCTCTTAAGAAAAAAAAAGTATATAGAAAGAAGAAATTTTGTCGCATTTTTTCATGAGGATCGATTAATTTTTAAGGTTGGATTAATTTTGAGCTGTTTTATGAGGGTGAATTATTCGTTCGGGATGGTTTAACACTTTAACTTGTCAATAAAAACGAAAACGTTGTTTTCTTGTCCGTTGTGTAACAAACATTGGTTTGCCAATCCGTTGAGTAGCGAGCATCGAGACGCTAACTTAGACCATATTTCGGAGAAGAACCTACACGAAAATAAGTGATCTCTCATCTTCATGACATCCGAACATAGTACACAAGTCGAATTGGCTCCTGTGCTCATGCGATCCCCCGTCAATAAGCGATTAGGCATC